CCCCCCCCCCCCCCCAGGTCTCCAAAGCACTTCAGGAAAGCCTCCTCAAATATTGAAAAAGTTTCACCTCTCTCTCTCTCCCTTCCCCCAGTACCTTTTAGCTCCTATTCCCATATCTCTTATCACCAAATCACAAATCCAGATATCAACATCAGCCTAAAATAAAAAAGTATTCATGGTACTGCCCAAACTCATAAAACCACCTTTCTCCAGGATGAAATTGCCATATTCAGTACACTGATACAGCACGCATATGTTGTACAGGACAATGGTTCTGGCGTGTCACCCACAGATACTATTGTTAATACTAGAAGTACTAAACAAACCTAACATTTACTGAGTACTTTGTACAAGAGTTGTGGTATCAGTAGTATCTTACTCTCCAGCTGAAGCAAAAGCGATGGTTAAGGCATCAAGCATAAGGTTAACAGTGAAACTTTCTTCTCTATAAATAGATTTCTTTACATCTCCAAAAGGATATGACAATCTCCACCAGTGAGACCTAACCAAGGTTTGTTTAGCAAATTGCCATAGCAGACAGTTGGTCCAGCTTACCTACCGGGCTTTTGTATTTGATTCCAATTACTGATTCTCGCCACAAGGAGTTCCTCACTTACAGAATGTATGGACTTAACACACAGCATCCCACTTTCATTGCTGGTATTTCTACAAGTGTTAATACTGACCATCAACTGCAGACACACTCAGCAGCAGCAAGAGCAAGTTTCCAAGAAATAGCACTACTGATTGTCTTTGTGATGCAGTTTACCAGAGCTCTCTTCTGTAGGCCAGGTCTGGCAATGCCTACATCTGTCCAGCTGATACTGCAAGCATTTTTTGTGGGAACAATGAACAGAGTTGTGTGTGCCATCAACACGCCTTTACACTTCTTCTGGCTTGATGACAACTATGTCCAGTGGGTTTATGAGGGTCAGAGAAAGGCATCACGTACCCCCCACCTGGCATGCAACATATTTCTACCTCTACAGCAAAAGTGCTGACAAAGTACACTATGTGCCAGCAGACAAGAAGGAGCCAGGCCATTTCTCCTGCAAAGCAGAAACTCACCCTTGCCTTGGCACATTAGTCACTGACTCACAGTACTTGCCCTGCATCACCTCAGCAAACAGCACTCAAAGAAACTACAGGCACTAGATTTGCTCAGCCTGGTTAATATTTCTTTTTAACCTGTGTCAAGTGTTCTGCTACAGAGAGCTTTAGCCCAGGATTCCCATCAGCCCCTGGGAGCAGTGCCTGCTTCCCTTCCCCTCTCACCACAGAGCATTACCCAACATGAAGTACTGATGGGGAAAACAGTCAGAGGGGAGAGTACTGCCGGGGAAAGAAATAAGGGAGGAGTTACTGAAAAATTATGAATAGAACAGCAGTCACTGTCACTACTAGAAAAAAGGCAAATATCATGAAGTAAACTTTTCCCATATACTCTGGATTATTAATGCTTCATCCAGACCATTGTATACAGCTTTGGTCCTCATTTTAAAAAGAAAAAAAAAAGAAAATATGTGGATTAACAAGAGAGAGTCAAAAGGAAAGAAAAATAGTAAAGAAAACCTAGCTTACACCAACTTACCCTTGCA